GGCTCGATATCAATATCGTCGTCTTTGATGTCCAAGTCCGCTGCCACTTCGTCCTCGCTATCACACTCGCTGCTCGAACTATTTATATCATCATCTTCCTCAATTTTGACCAGTAACGGAGGGGTAGGCGGTGCTGTTATCTCTCCGACCAAGTCCTGAATCAGCAGCAGATCTTGTGGCACAGACACTGGTATTTTGAACCCAGACGACATCAGACCCCAGTGTGCCGTGATCGTGGAAGAGGAGTGAAAAGCGCTTGTCGCGCGCCGGAGGCAATACAAAATCTTCCCCTGCGCCGCTCTCTCCGTTCGCGTCACCAACATGTTCAGACAAGTCCGCACCCATGCCTGCAGTGCGCCGCTCAGACGGCTCTACTCCACCCAGCCCGAAAAGCCCTCCATAAAACTCGTCGCCGAGCTGCGCAAGCGCACAGAAGTGTCCATCTCCAAAGCCCGCGATGCACTCAGCGCCACGAACAACGACGTCTCCGCCGCGCTCGCGTGGCTGCAGGACGACCTCGTCACCTCTGGCGCGAAGAAGGCCGCGAAGGTGGAGGGGCGCGACGCCAACGAGGGCGTCGTCAGCGTCTCGGTCTTGTCCAGGGGCGTCGGCGCGGGGTGGGCGCTAGGCAGCGGCGGCGTGCGCGCGGCGATGATCGAGCTCAACTGCGAGACGGATTTCGTGGGGCGGAACGAGTTGTTTGGCAAGCTCGCGGCGGACATTGCGCACACCGCTGCGTTTCTCTCGGAGCCCCTAGACCCGGAGGCGCTGCCTGCGTTCGCGGCGCTGCAGGTCGACGCACTGCTCGACGCGCCGCTGCTGTCTCACGTGGACCCCACTGAAGCACCGTCCTCGACAGTCGGCAGCGCCATCCGCGACGCCATTGCCAAAATGGGAGAGAAGATCTCGCTGCGGCGGGGGACGTCGCTCGCCCAGGAGTCACAGGGCCGGGAGGATCGCGGGACGCGCCTCGGTTCGTACCTTCATGGCTCTGTCGGAAACGCATCGAACGGGCGCATGGGCGCACTGGTGTCGCTCCTGGTCAACTCACCCTACCTCGCAAAGCTCGTCGGGACCGAACAGTTTATGCAGGACCTGCAGCAGCTTGAACGGTCACTCGCGCGGCAGGTTGTTGGCTTCGACACGCGACAGGTCATGAGCCTCGACTTTTCTGAAGGTCGGGAGCGCGACCTGCAAATTCTCTACGACCAACCCTTCGCTATGTTCCCGGATAACCCCGACGGCGACGTGGTGGAGCATGTGCTGCAGAAGTGGGCAGTTTCGAAGGGCATGCTCACCACGCAAGAAGATCCCGATGTTATCACAGAGGCGTCGGCATTGGTCGTCACTGGATTCGAGAAGTGGACTGTTGGGGAACCCATTACACCTTAACGCAGCCTCGTTAGTGGGTATTTCACGTCCTTAAATCTACGCCTCGCTGACAAACGAAGTAGACCATCTATTGCATTCTACATCCCCGCTCACGATATTCATTACGATACATTCATACCACATAATTACCTCACTAGATGTATGGAGCAACCTGGACTTTGCCTAAACGCGCTTACTCGGTTTTCTTGCCCGATACTTTCTGAATGTATGGTACCCCAAGAGAACTGCCAAGCTTGTAATTGCGGTAGTCGTCCTTGATGCATAGTGTGCTGCAAGATGTCAGTAGAGCATGCCGAAGATCAAGTGAAAAATATCATACGTATCTAGTATGGCAAGTTAGTTGAGGACATTTGTGATGAGAACGGAAACTCACAGGTGATACCATTCATCATCAATTGTGTCCCAATTCCCTGTCGGAAGATCAGTGTAAGCGCAAATCACCGATAAAACCCACTTGCTGTGAATATATGCCACCAAGCATGTCCTACGAGTACAGCATGTTAGGCAAGGTGCACACTGCGGTGAATAAACATCACACCTTCTAACAAGAAGGCGAGAGGCCAGCCGACAGCATTCTTGCCTCGCGTAAGGATATCGCAGTATACATTATCCAGATTCCAGATGATGAAGCCGACACCGAATAGCACGAAACCCAGCCCAAACATTCTCGCTATGACGGACCGGACTGGAGCTGGTATCTTAGCAGTTCCTTTCGCTCCATTAAGCAAGTAATAAGTGCGTGCGGCCGTCGTGAACACCAGCAATCCGAAAACAACTTGATGGTATACCGGGTCACGAAACACGATGCTGGACTTGACATTACGTGACTGGTCGGTGTAGAATGAGCGATGTGACTTACTAGGACCACGTGAATAGAACATTGAACACTACAAGAGCAGCAGCGAGTAGCCAGGTCCGAAGCGAGGACAGCCCAAATCCACTGTGCGCTGTGTCAAACAAGCAGAACAGGCCATAGCTCGCGACGAATATCATGGGCAATTCGTCGGCTAGCTGTGCTTCATGGAGTAATGTAGCATGGAAGGCAAAACTCCCCACGCCGACCATTGTGAAGCCCTTTTCTGCAAGTCAGACTCTGTGACGCATGGAAAGCAGGTCAACGAACCAAGGAACCGATGGTCAGTCTGATCGGAAGGTCCTCCTTGCGCGCAGAGATTGCACCGTGCAATGCAAGCCAGATAGAGAATAGATTTGACATAGTGTTCGTCATTTCAGCGATATACTTGGAGAATTGGTAATTCGCCTGGATGAATTGACGTTAGGGGACCGTTCTTCTAGACGAAATACTCGACCTTACCTCGCACCAATCAAGAGTCGCTGTGACCGGGCCCCATACACCCACTGCGCCAATCGAATTTCCGAAGACGGGCATGATGGTGGTTGGAAGCAAAGACGGAAAACGCGCCTTATTTTGTCAGCGAGAAACGCAAGGGATGCGCGCATTATTGATGATCGCTCAGGACTGGCTCCGAGCGTGCTGTCGTCCCGGTCCGCTTCCGCCCGACGCGGTCTCATCGGATTTACAGTCATGCACTTTCCCTTCATCTTATCTATCCTCTTTAAATTTGGCAACATTGGTTATGTTTTCCATAATCAAGAATCGCCATCGTGGGCGCAGCTACTGTCCAGAAGTTTCCAGCTTCTATCAAGAATTGAGTTGTGAAACCCAGCCTATTCTATTAATATCTACTAACCATTACGAGAGGCCTAAAAATGCGGGAAGCGCCCTCGCCTCACGGCGAGTTATAACACGCGCGATGCCTTGGGCCGCCGCGATAGGCATAGCTGTCTGCAGCCAATTTGACCAAGCATCACTATCATCGCCGTACCGTATGATGTTCACCTGCTGAAGACGAGGGAAATTCGGGCGCTCCATCAGGCGGTCAAGTCTTCCAAAGAATCTGACAACTTCGGCAGAGAAGTGGGCTATTGTGAATTCGTGGATTTCAATATTAATCTCTCGAATGTTGCAGGAGGATACTTTGCGAACGAGAGCCAAAATAAGGCTTGCACCACGGTTTTCATCGTCTTGCACAACCCGGCGGTCACATTGAGTGAACGTGAGCGTCTGCAGCAGAAGGCAATGCCCCAAGCAAACACGCTCAAAGGAACTCTCTGGTAATAAACAAATATCAATTAAAAGACAATTGGATATTTCGTTAAGATGACTTTATACCTTCTTCCCAGGTGTACCTGGTATTGTTATCAAACTCGATCAAGAGATGCTCAAGGCTTGGGCATTGCAGGATATGTCCCAACGATTTCCACGCGTGCTGTTTCAAAAATGCGCCTGAACTCATGGCCAGTTTCTTGATTTCCATAGAAGGAATCCACAAACCAAGCCAGCGCAGCATCCCCATGTCAAATCCCACCTTGCGGATTCTCACCACGCTCAAGCTACGGGAGGGCGGTAGCACCATATTTTTCCGGGAGTAGGGACCGTCGACGTCGCGCAATGTGAGCTGCCGGAGGCTCTGACAAGCATTTACCAGGCTGCACGCTATCTCGAATGAATTCGGAAGATAAGAATCCAGCTCCAGCGTGTCCAAGCCATCCATGCGACTCAGCCAAGTGACAACGTCCGAGTGGCACAGTGGCTCGGTCACCGGGCGATAACCATATTCATCAGAGTCCCCCCCGGGCCAGAATTGGTGAATGCCGATCGACTTGACCGCAGGCAGCATGCTCAAATACAAGAATCTTGATTTTGGCACGAGGTGCAGATTTTTGAGCTTCAAGTTATGTATGTGTGGCAGGAGGGTCGTAAACGAGGACCGGATAAGTGCTAGAAAAGATAGCTGGCTTTGATAAGAGCTGCCTTGAAGGACAGTGAAGTCGATGGTGTCGAATTGGTGCGAGCGACTGCGTCGAAGCCAGTCTCGGCCGACCATGGCACATGTAGCAAGCGCGCTGAATGGGTAGACTGGTTATTTTATAGCTTTTTTAAGTTGGAGAATGGGGGTGAAAGCGAACCTATTCAGGGGGACCACAAAGGTCTTAGGCTCTGTTAGATTTCCGCTATGATTACCTGTTGGCGATGCTATGGCGCCATAGTGTACTTGGTCGATGATCAGGTCGACGATTTCGGCAGGGAATTTCCCCATATTCTTTGCGTTTAGCGGTTGATGTAAATAGGGGTGGATGTTTATTTCGGTTAGGGGTCGGTGGTGGGGAGGGGGCGGCAACGTTGCGTCGCGACCGCTCAGTAATTAAAGCTCGTGCCGCGCTCAGTTTGCCAGCAAATTTTGCAGAGTTTGTGTTTCGAGATCCTGCTTCTGATAGCAGGTGGGTGCGGGCTGCCAATCAAATGCGATTGCAAGTGGCAAACGGATCCAAATGAACTCGATTGAGTTCCCACGGTCACTTGTGGCCACTGCCAGGGCCCAGCGACGGTGTTGTCTCCTTATTTCGCCGCTGTTGCAAAGTCTTGATTCTTTCCATCGCCAGACAGCAGGTGCGAAGAATTTTGGTAAGATATGTATATATTTGGTATTTCCTACATACATACGGTGTTCCAACATAAAGGCTATGATCGGGGTGCAACAAACGTTATACATCCGCCGCTGGATCAAAAGATGAATCAAAAGCAAAGTTCAGGGCGGGGGTTGATCCCGCGACCTTCAGATGATCACATTGCAATCTGCCGCTCTACCACTGAGCTACCCGAACGATGGAAATCGTAGATAAGCGGGTGCCATAATCCAAGCGGTAAAAGCAGCGCAATTTTAGCGACATTCTACAATCTTTTCAGTCAAACAACAAAAGAAACCTACAAATTTATGGGAAAGCTTCATTTACACTGCTTTGAAAAAGACGAGAGTCGAGCATTCTTATTGTATGTTTTGTTAGCTTAATTACTCGAGTAGTGCATAGGAACACAACATGTAAAAGCTACTACGTCAATATTTTAAGGACAGGTGAACTGGCTTCAAATATTGCCAGAAAGACCTCTATAATGTCCAGCAGCACGAGGAAAATTTTAGGGAACCTACATTTGGTGGCAATCAGGATTTGGGCGGTAGTGCATTGTGCAGTAGAGTCACAGTACTAGTGTCGTAATTACTTTGAGCTTCAGATGGTCATAATTAATATCGCATGAAGCACGTATGTTCAGTGTCAACTGGATTTAGCGATCGACAGTCTATCGAGGTAGATTGATGAATCAGATAATGGCTGTTGGTCCAACTTGGCCGTGAAGTTGCGCAATTGCCACGCGTACGGCGCCAGCTTGACGCGACCGACTTTGTCAGTTCTTCAGCCACCGCGATCGTCTTTCCTCTGGCTACCCTTGGCTACCATGCGCAAAGCAGCAACGTCGCTCGCTCGTCAAAGCTATGGCATTCAACGCCGACATCTTACTCAGGCATCCACAGGACACCCTCCGGTCCAGATAACTACGCTTCCCAACAAAATTCGGGTCGCGACAGAGTCTACCCCGGGCCATTTCTCGTCCGTGGGGTTGTATGTCGATGCTGGTTCGCGGTACGAGACTCCCTCGACCTCGGGAGTGAGCCACTTCTTGGACAGAATGGCATTCAAGGTGAGAGATACGTTCTCGATATGACCTGTATCTGTATCTGACCCCAAACCAGACGACCAGCACTCGCTCCGATGAGGAAATGTCGAAGGCTATGGACGCCATGGGAGGCCAAATCATGTGCTCATCTTCACGAGAGTCCATCATGTACCAGTCCTCGCACTTCCATTCTGCTACCCCTCTCGCGCTTTCCTTGATTGCCGACACGGCTCTCAATGCGTCATTCCTGCCGGAAGAGATAGACGCACAAAGGGATGCCGCGAGCTACGAGATTCGCGAAATCAACGCAAAGCCGGACATGATCATCCCAGAAGTCTTGCATAGTGTTGCGTATGGGGGCAAAACCCTAGGAAACCCACTCTTGTGCCCGGAAGAGCGCATAAACTCCATTGACGGGGATCTGCTCCGCAGTTGCTTGCGAGAGTGGTATCGACCTGAAAACATGGTCATTGCGGGCGCTGGCATGCAGCACGAGGCATTAGTGGAAATGGCAGACAAGTACTTCTCGTCTTTAAAGTCTTCCGTGGTGCCAACGCCCCGCTCGACCTCGCAGCAAATTCCCTCCCACCTCCTTCAGCCTTCCTCGCCATCGCCCCTCAAGTCTCTGGCAAGAGCAGCGTCGTCTTACATGCCAGAGACCCGCGCAACCTACACAGGCGGCCAGCGTCATATCTTTGACGCGTCGGCAGAGTTCAACCATCTCTATCTTGCATTCGAGGGCGTCGGCATTCACGACAACGATATCTACACACTGGCGACCATGCAAGTGCTTCTCGGTGGCGGCGGAAGCTTTTCTGCTGGTGGTCCCGGGAAAGGGATGTACTCGCGGCTATACACTAATATCCTCAACCATTTCCCGCAGATTGACCACTGCGCGTCATTCCACCACATCTACACCGACTCCTCCCTGTTCGGGCTTTTTGCATCATTTGTCCCATACACCTCTCGCAATCAGGGCAACACGCCAGCTCAGATTATGCCGCATCTCGTGCACCAGCTGAGTCTGCTTTTGTACCAAGCGGTGCCAAAGGCAGAGCTCAGTCGTGCTAAGAACCAGCTGAAGTCGAGCTTGATGATGGCTTTGGAGAGCCGAGCAGTGGAGGTCGAGGATCTCGGACGACAGGTACATATTTTACAGCTCAATTACGCAAGTTAATCTAACGGTCTACCCAGATTCTTGTTCACAATCGCAAAATCCCAGTGACGGAAATGACCGATCTTATTGACTTAGTCACGCCTGAGTCTGTTCAACGAGTAGCACGCCGTATTTTCGGCCCCGACTCTGGTAACAAGGCGACTGTCGTGGGCATGGGCCGCGACGACATCGGTGACTGGAAGGCTGTACTGGAAAAGTACGGCGTCTCCGCCGCGTAGAACAGCATACTACATACCATATCTGCTCCACTAATATTGCACCTGAGGGTTAATGACATGCGCTAGAGCAGTGATCCAGATCATCAATGCAGCGAGAATGACTACCAGCACAAGAATACATCAGCGGTTACTTTACTTTAATCTGGTCCACCGGGAGTCCCGCCTACTGCTAAGATACACCTCCGAGTCCAGCTCCTCACGGTTCATCCACGCCTTTGGTTGAGTTGGTATCAAGCTTGTCACCTGTACTTGAATCAGAACACCTTGAAGATCACAGCAAGCGAAGAATTTACCATAAAGCGTTGGCCTGTCTCAAACGAGCCCCCCTTGCTGCCTTCAGATAGCGACAATCCGAGTGCGTCCCATACCGTCAGCTGGGCTTGACGATGCGAAGGTCGCTTGTTGGAAT